TATTATTATTATTGTTACCGCTAAAGCTCGAAATCCGTTAATGTGTACATTACCTAGCTAATCTGCAGATTAACTAGGGTGATCTGTTAAAGCTGCGAAAATTATTCCATTTCTCAAATTACCTAGGTAATCTGCGAATTACCTACTAGGCACTCGGTAAAGTGAAAATAAGATCTTTGCTGGAACAACAACAACGTTTCTTTCTGTACGCTTAAATTAACATAATGTTATTTATTTAATTTTCAATATCTAAAGAATCAAGTTAATACAATTAAACAATCAACAAATTAGTTGATTGAATCAATCATCAATCAATTAAAAAAAAATTTAATACAAAAATCAAACGGTTTAAAATATTATTACAATTAGGGAAATGAATTTGCAAAACATATGATAAAATTGTACTTACTTATTAGTGCAATCTAAAGATTGGTGACACTTTGAATTACATAGCGATTGGTTTTTGCGACGAGCACGCCTATTTGTGGTACATTTAGATTTGCAGTCACATTTTCTGAAACCCTGCCCAGTACCAAGGGATTGTTTAATTGCTGTTTGATGTAAAGATATTTCTACAGCAGAGACATCCATCTTCTTTCGTTAAAAATCTCTCTTTGCGAACACTGAATTCAAATTTTGCATACAATTGTTTTAAAATACCTGTTTTAGTATCAAGTTTATAAAAGCCATCCTCTGTTTTATGTCACATATTCTATAAAATTCTTTTTTTAGTCAAATTTCTAGACGAATTTTCTCAACTATAATTATTTCTAATGTTTGCTTTAGCCTGGACTTTCAACTATTAAGCGTTGTTTTAGATTGTTCGCAATGGCCAAAGTAAACATAAATACATACAGTAGTTACAAAGGTTGAAACGAATTTATGTCCTCTGGTGGTGTTTTAGATAAAAATATTAATAAAGAAAATTCTAAACTAAAATATATTTAACCAGTTTTTATTTATGTTAATGCTTACGTTATTATTTATTTAATTTTTTGAGATGAGTTTGACTAGGCTTTCTTTGAAATTTCTATTATTTGTGTTTCTTTCTTCGTAGAAGATTTTGATGTTGTATATACAGTATTAATATTACAATTATTTATGAGGCAATGATTATGGAAGACATATTGCATTCGGTGATATTTCATATCTGCTATTTGTTATTTTACTCGTATTTTCAATTTCCGTTTAGTTCCTTCAATATAGGTATTTGGATTTTCGCAAGTACATAGGATTTCATAAAAAAACGTTTTTAGTTTCTTCTATATTTACATTAGGTTTTCTCTTGTTTCTTTTATTGTTATTCAAGTTCGTAGTTTTACGTATTTGGGTGCTAATTTTATGTTTATTTTCTTCATTTGTTTATTAATTTTTTCGTATAGTCCCTTTATGTACGAAAACCATGTATATTTTATATCTGGATTATTTGTTTTCTGGATTTGTCTTTTATATGTGAATATTTCTTTTGTTTTTTTTTTCGCATGCATTACTCTCGTGATGTGTTCGTGTTCATGACGCTAATTGAAATATGCCAATTTTTTTTCCGGTGGTGTTCGCAAATGAACAACGCTACGATCATTACGTTTAAAAAATTTTGCTGCATAAGCTTACATTTTTACATAAACTGAGAATTTTAAATTTTTTAATCAAAAGTCCATTCATTTGTTATAGACGTCAGCTAACCTTTTTGAAAAAATCAGAATTAACAAATGAAACGAAAGACGTTGTTTAAAGAAAATTACATTAGATTGAAAGTTAGTGTCAAGGTCTGACACGCTGTGTGGAAATCATTAGCCCATTTTCGCCGCCACGTAATATGATGTTTATTTATGTGATACGTGTTTCCAGTACTTTATAAATAGTTTTTGATCAGTTTTTTCGACAGAATGAAGTTAATTAATTAATTATATTATATAAATTAAGGTTCTCTGAGGTTTATGAAAATACAGTACAAAATCCTATTGAAACGAAACATTTTCAATAATTTGAGTTAGCTTTTTTGACTGTGTCTTAATTCCTAAGTTCGCCACATACTCCGATTCGAATCAATCAGTTATCATTTCACGTACTGGTATAACCAGTGTATACAGACTATTCCACTGTACATACATATACTACATTATATAGATACAGTAGAGCGTCGATTATCCAAATCAATTGGGGACTGGGGTTGTTCGGATAACTAATATTTCGGATAACCGATTATGTACGAAAAAATAGTATAACGTCTTCCATGTTGAAATTTTTTTCCGTTGCATGTCGCTTTGCATTGAATTTTCGTCGATGTTAAGCCTAACGAAGACTATTGTATCGTTAAAACTTATTTTTTTATTTTGTACAAACAAAATGAATATATCGAAAAATATAAAAACAATAAAAAATTATACTTCAGATGTTAATTTTGTATCAAAAACGTAAAATAGTTGAGTAGGCCAACATATAGCCAAAGATTGCAGCGCCACAGAACTAGCGAAAATTTAAATTTGCCGACTGAAATTCTTTCGGGTAATCGACGCTCTACTGTATTTATTAATTCGGAACATGATAACTTCACATCCTCCAAAAATTTTTAATAATCTGGAATTGTTTTACTATTATACCGCATGCTATTGATATTATTCTTCGAACGTGTTCGTTAGTATATTATATCATTTGTACACAATACACGATATATGTCTACAGAGTATTATATGCAAAAAATTCATCGTTAACGTTGAATTAATGTAATATCTGTTTCACGAACATTTTACGGTTATTTACAATAATTTTAACAGTTTAATCTTATACAGTGTCATTTTGAAACTGATTACAGAGTGAGAAAACTTTAATTTTTTTTTATATCCGAGCATTTCTGTAAACATTGTGAATTATTTCTTCGTTGAATTTACAGAATCACACCATAAAAATATCGTAATGCATTAATATTTATTTTATATTTTAAAAATAATTAAACTATTTCTTATAGTTTTGATTTATTTCTATATAGAAGGATATTCGACATGTTACTTCAATTGAAGTTAAGTTTTTTGCTGATTACATATACTGAACCATATTACCCAAAGCTCTTTAAAAGTAAGTATTGTCCTGCAGTTATTTTTGCTATAAAAATTAAGATTTTTTATAATTGAAAATGCTAATTTATAGAAAATAAAGCTGACTTTTTGTGTGAATTACTGCAATGTGTTATTATCCTTTACATTAATTTAAAGGTTATTTGTATGTTCTGGATACATTATTTTGTTTATATTGGTATAAACAACAGTTTCTATTCAAAGTAAATACTACTCTATTCCAGAGGTGAGAATTGATAAATATGTGGCAGTAGTACACAATGTGCTAGTTAATATTGCATGTGCTAGGTAATGTGATAGTTAACATAATTCCTCTGGAATATGTCTTGCTTGATATATTGATATCTGTAAGTTCTTTTTATAATTTAATTGGATAGAACTTAAGATTATGTGCAATAAAAATTCTAATCGGATAAATGCATATTTCAATAAATCCAGAGTACAATAAGTTACAATAATTTGGTATTTTAAAAAAAGTTAAATTAAAAAATATATATAATTTTTTATATAATGCGAACGTAACTAGTGGGTTTGTGTGATAATTTCATAAATAATTCTAAATTTTGTATATTTATGTTATAGTATATTAATATGTCAAAAAAAGTAAACTGTAATGTAATATTTGGGAATTATATACTATATATTATTCGTTTTACTTCGGTTAATGTAGCTTATTTAAAAAGTTTTATGTTTTGTTAAGGTATTGCTGTTGAGAATTGTACCTTAGAATAAATGAAAGTTCAGACAGGTTATAATAAATTTAATATTAGTTATTTTTCATTAACATATGTCATTTTCTGAAGCTTCTTTACAGAAAAAGTGGGTCATGTTAGCCACTTTTAAATTGTCGTTTAAAATTTCTGTGAAGAAACTTTCTTCCTATCGTAAACATAAAATTTTTAAATTAAATTTGCAATAAATTCACTAAATCCAATAATAAGTCGGAATTAGTAAATTGAGTTCAGTTCTTGCCACTTATTCTGCAAAATGTTGTATATGAACAGTGCATTTTTTATGGCAGTTTCAATTGTCTTTTATTTATGAGTAGGTTATGTATATGGCGCTACCCGGATTTATAGAAGATAAAAATTTAAAATACACGAAATTTTTATTTTTACGTAAATCGATTTGAAAGAGAAAAATATTTGAGATTTTAAATGTAATAATTTTATTTTAATAGCATAAAAAGAAATTTTAATTTATATATAAAAATTTAATAAATTTTGGTCAGTCAATCAGGACAAGTAATCTAAATATATAAAATCACTTGTCCTGACTGACTGACTCACTGACTCACTAAATGACTGATTCATCATCGTACAGAGCAAACCGCTGAACCTAAAGAGGTGAAATTTGGTACACAGTTAGGGTACGTCATGAAAACCCACACTGAGAAGGGATTTTTCAAAATTTTCCTGCGAGGGGGAGAGACAGAAAATTAAGGCTTAACCGGAAAAACGGCTTCCACTGTACTATTTTAGATGCGACTTTTTGTTTTCAACTACGTTTTGTTTAATTGATTAGTTAGGTGTATTAAATTGATAACATTTCAGACATTGTTATAAATATTTTTATCTATTTCGATTTAAAAAATGTTCGAACCGTTTTAAATTCGAATTTGTTATTGCATATTGGTTCAGTTATATAACGATTGTAAACGTTCCGGAAAATTTATCAAATTGAAAATAGATCGTTTGTTTCTCGGCAATTCTCATTATTCTCAGCGGTAGGTGTTATATAACAATTACTATGGTTGTTGAAATACTGAATATAAATGGGGTTTGCTTGCAAAATCCGCGCGAGCGAAGCCCTGGGTAACAGCTAGTATTGTTATGAAAAAAAAAACAAACAAGTTTTCGTTAATATACATATTCTAAAATTTTAAATTAATGTAATTTTACAAATAAGTAAAATTTGTGTGAATTTCAGAATCTGTTTCGAGCAAATTAATTCAGGAAGAACACATTTTGCACGTTGTAGAAGAAGAATTCGTTTATCAACCTCAAGTGACTTTCTTTTATAATTCTGACGATCGGCGTTTTGCATTTACTGAAGTAATTAAGAAGTCAACTTTTATACAAGTAGAAAAAAGTTACGTTAAAATTGTAAGTTATTCATATTATTTATTTATTTAAACTGATTAAACATTTCATCCTTTAAATTTTTACTGAATAATTATTACTAGTCTGCAGTTTATAATATTGCCCAACTTTTCAATATTATAAAAATAGCGTTGTTAATGTTGTAGATTAAATGATTAATATGTTTTGTTTATCAAATATTATGTAACTAAATATTTAAAAAATGTTTAAATAAGTATTAATTGTCTTTTTGTAATTTTCTAATGTAAACCCCCCCTGTAACAAAAATTTTCTTATTACAATAAAGCATTTGTAATATATTAAAATAGCGTTGTTAATTATTATATTCATAATTTGTCGATCTGTTCCCAGTGACAAAGCCACCTAAATGAAAACTGTTTTTTTTTTGTAAAGTCTTCTTTGGAACCATTTTTGTTAGCAGATCGCTCAAATCTAGCACTGTCATATTTCTTCCAAGTAAAAAATCCACTGTTTTATTTAAATGTATTAATGAAAACTCAAATTTCTCTATATTTGAATATAATTTTACATGAAATTAGGAATAAAATACAATAATTAAAATATCTAGGAGTGGATACTTATAAAAAAATTTTGTTGTCGCTTGTTCACATTCAATTTTGGTTTTCTCAGAACAACAAGCTTTCATTTTACGTTTATTGTACAATTAATTGCATATATTCAATGCAACACATGGGCAATTCGCCAAAAAGAGAAACTCTACTGGTGGACTTTCCACTGGAATCTACTTTTTTTATACGTAGGAGTCTCTTTAAAAATTGCGAAAATTTTAAACAACCAATCTATGTTCAAAGCATGAACCATCACCAACTAACTTTGTTTAATTATTTTATTTACTCGCCCTCAGTAAGCTTTTTCTTTTCTATACGTGTAGTTTCTTAACTGTTGTTCACTCGTATGATCATTCAAAACTGTCACAAATCTTACTAAAACATAGGATCTTACAGTGTTTTTTAAATATGCTTAATAACGATCAATTCTCCGACGATTGCCTTGGGTATGGAAAAATGGAGCTATATAAGAGTAAATAACAATTGCTTAATGCCAAGGAGTAATCCATGCTCCTTCAACGGCGTGGAAATACGCCATAGAAAAAGAAATGGGAATAAAAACACTTAAACATGTGGCAGTGGTATTTTAACTAGTTTAATAAATATTTTCGTTATATTAGTTTATTTTTATATGTGTTTAATTTTATATTATGTAAGTATTTTGTTAATTATTTAATATTTTACTGTTTAATGTATAGTTTTTAAAAATATGTTTAAAATTCTTTAAATTTAAAGAGTGTTCGAAAAACTTTGTGTTCGATTGTAGAACAAACTCCTGAGGATGGCCTATTATAAATAGGCTGAAAGCGTTTAAGTATTAAATTAATAGTAAGCTCAGCAAGTGTTTGGTGTTTGATTAAATTTGTATGCTTAATACTTTGTATAGTGTTTTTTAAATGTGCTTAATATTTGCACTATAAATAATTATTTATTTCGACAGTATTTATTCACTAGTATGACATGTTTTTACGTTTATTGCACGATAGAAACATAGTAATCTACTTGCTATGGACTATTTGATTTGCTCTATTACTTCATTCCCAACTAGCTGCAATGAATTTCTTAATTTAGCCAACTACATTAGTTTTAAAGTTTGTGTTATATCAGTTTCAGATTTCGAATCCGATCACTCTGTTTACTTTCCTCACATATTTTAACTATTATTTGCAAATTTAGATTCATTTCTGTGTTTATTCGATAACGTGTAATCTAGAAACATTTTTCATTTTCGTTATTCTATAAAATACCCAGTTATTTTAAGAAATGCCTACGTGGTTTACATAAAGTATAGAATAAATTAAACATTGCATACTTTAACTTGTTATTCGATCGAATAGCCAATTATTTTATGAATTAACTAATCAGTGTCGATTAGAATATTAAATGAAATAATAAAATAAATGTTCTTCCCTTGGTATAAATGTTTTTGACATTTCCACTTTCCTGCACACCCTAACATAGCTTCGTTTTTTATAAATAAGCACTCGTACAAAATGCATACCCACTAGGAAAACAATACATGAGATTTCGTAGTGTTTAAAGAAATTGCACGATTGTGTATTTTTGTAAAGAAACATCTAACGAAAACTTTTCAACTTTCTTTTTCTTTACAAATTATTTTCGCATTCTATGCATAGTCTGTATATAAATTCTGCTGTAAATTCTGTGATCATTACAGGTCTAATGTACTTACAATAGTAGAATATTAAACTATATCTACCTCTGTAGATGTAAAATTATTTGATTTTCTGGGCATCAAAATACAGTAATTTTGTGGTCATCATCGGTTCCGCCGAACCAACAATACAGACTAATGGACTGTTGAGATCGCTCGACATAGCTGAAGCACACTATTCTCTTGAAAATTTTCGATTCCTCTGATTCATTTATTTATTTCCCACTTTGGTAGGTTATTGTATAAATGTAAACTAAAATGCTTTATAACAAGTTCAACTTACTTTTGTTAATGACGTTAAGTAATCTTTTTTTATTGTTATTATTATATAAATTATATTTTATAACCTATTTATTTCTGTATTTTTTAAATGGTTAATATTATTAAACGTTTTAGTGCGAAGATTATAATATGACTTCTTGTAATATGTACAATAGGACAAAAATAATTGAAAAGAAATCGTTAATACCAGACATAATAAAAATCTATTTAGGTCCCGTAAGTATAAATAAACTTTACGTATAATTGTTCTTATCTTTTTGCAATTTAAAATAAGGTAGCATTATGTATATATAATGTTGTAGTATTTCAAATACAATATGAATCTGAATGTATGTTTAGAATTCACTATATTTTAGTTTTATAATATTTGTGTCTTAATGTGCATAATATTTTAAATGATGTTACGCACATCGTCGATTTTCCTGCATAACTCATTAATACCTTTTACCCACTTTTTATATACTAAAATTTTTATTACTTATATTTGTACCTGACAATGTGAGATTAGCCGGGGGCAAAGGGGCAATCACGAATGACCACTTACTTGGCCACAGGTCGGTGAGACTTTATCTTGTTGTCTGTTGGATGGTTCCAAGATAAATTTTCGGCGGGATTGCAAGATCTAGCCGACGTCAGGATGCTGACACCAGTTTGGATACAGTTAACCGCGTCCTAACCCACAAATAGTAACCAAAAGTTAAATAGGAGGGTCTAAAATTATCGAGTGGAAAGGTCGAAAACACGTCGATAAGTGTCAAAGGTGAGCCGTGATCGATGTCTTTCTTTCTTATATAAAGATTCGAGTCGTCGTCTTCTATGGGAAAGTTCGCTTTAGGCTGTTCTAGATATGACGGGACCGAAGTATTCTCTTTCGTTCGTTGAGACCGTATTGTGATTGCCGTTCTGGAGATAACTACTGGGAACTAGGTGGTTGTCACCGGCGTGTGGCTGTCAAACAAAATAAAAAAATAAAATTATGTGAATAAATTTTACAGCGTTTGATGAGTTTAGCAACACTCCAAAAACGATACATTTAATGCCCTGTAATATATAATAAAGAAAGAATAACGTATATTTATAATTAATGTTTCGCAACGTCCCGTTACAGAATACCTAAATTTTACTGCATCAAATAGCATAAGTCTGCAGAGGCTTAATACATGATATCAGTAATACATTTGGCAAGTTTAAAACTGTAAAAAGGGTTTAGCACATTGCTACAATATGATATCATGATTATTCTGAATTACGAGCTTTTACATGCAATTGGAAATGAATCACGAGATCTACTCACATTAGCGAAAATTATATAAAAAGAGCTCGAACAATAGGACGTTGTGAAGAAGCTGTGAAGTCGTTTTACTGTATTCAATGTACAAGACAAAATAATATATAGATATATTGCAACTTTTCCAGAAATTTTCAGTAACGTGCGGAAGCCAAATTGATTCAGGCAAAATTACTTTTCTGAAACTTGTTGCACCAGTCATCATAAAACAACTAAATTGTTTTTTGCAGCAAAGAGAAATTTGCTTATAAAGAAAGAAGGAAGAAAAGTTATCGTAGCAACATTAATTATTTATCTGAAGACTTCAATTAAGTCTTGTTCGCTGATGAAGTCGCTTTTTTATTTACTCGGATGCTCTACGATTGCTTCGTGTCAGATGATAGCAAGCATAAGGCAAAAATGTCTGTATATGTAATACATTAAATTTGAAATTATTTACGGTGTTGTAATCATGGTGCAGTAACAGAGAAATAAGAGAATTATATTTTTTTCACGATGATGAATACAGGTAAATTTGACGAACATAACGGCATTGATATCATCAGAAATTTCTTTTTATCACGAAACTTGGATTTTTTGTATCACGTTGCTTATTGTCATAAAATAAGTAAGACTCAGAACAATTAAAAATTTTATAAATATTTTAATTTTCTTTAGTTGAATGTTGGTATTTGTACTGTCAGGTCAAAACTTGCATCCGCTAAAAATCAGAAATTCTAATTGTTTGCTCTTCATACCAGTAGACCCCCCTATAACACTGTTGATTATTCCGTTTTATATAAATTCCATGTTGTACGAGTCACTTAGATTTTACAAATACGTGAACCGTTCACAGCCCGGCACACGTATTTGTAAAATCTAAGTGACTCGTACAACACGGAATTCATATAAAACGGAATAATCAAGTGTTATAGGGGGGTCGACTGTATACAGGTCATTTTTCGCTTTGTATGTAGAAAGCGAATAATCATCTTTACAATAATTATAAATATTTTTCTTTTGGAACAGTAACTCTGTATTTTCAAGTAGTTTTCCTTTTCTTTTTCATTTACTTCCCGAACTTTCATTTTTAATGCGGCACCACGTTTGTCGATCTGCACATAAGTACTTCAACAGATAAATATTCTTGTTTGTTTGTCTGTTAATCAAATGCAAAACACAAAGATGACAAACCCGTATACCTCTACACATGAATAATATCTGTTCTGGTTCTATGTTATTCGGATTCCCGATAAACTTCTGTTACCTGATCTTTCTTTAAATCTTGTAGACTTATTAATACTTATTAAGATTATATTTATACTTTATATATATAAAGAGTATATGCACAAGAATTGTGATAGGAGAAACAGGGACTATGTGTCACAGTTTTTAGTCATTTCTAATTTTAGGCTCTATAATATCAATTTATTTAAGTGAAAATGTATTCACCAACTTATGTTTTTATTTAGTTTATAATAAATATATGAACATTTAATCATTTTTTGTCATAGTTATTTTAGAAACTATGTTACCCTGTGACATCATATTCTTAGACAGGGTATATTGTCATAAGTTATATGTAGTCTAATTTCTCACATTTCCTGATTATATTTTGGCTATGTTAAATATGCCTAATATTACATTTACTCGTGTCACTTTTATAACGAAAATAGATTATTAATTTACAATTTTTTATTCTGCGAAAGACAAGTAACTCGAATCTTTACATATTGTCTACAGAGTCACAAATGTGACAAACATAATATGGATTTACATCCGTACATAACCCGTAAAACCCAACTCTCACCACAAACCAAACAGAAATTTTTATCTTTTTCTTCTGATGAGTCAGACTTGGTGACAAGTTGCCCCAAATGAACTTTCTTAACAAATCGGTTCATAGTTTTTAACATCAAACTTAAAAATTCGATTGTTTGTAATGTATGTATACATTAAAGACCCAGCTAAAAGGAAAAATTCAGTTCTTACTCACCTTTTACTAATTGCATGTTTCCAAACTGCACAAGACACGATGCATTAAAATATACGCAAGTTGCTGTAAATTTTTTAACCTCTAATTAACGGAAAACAATGCGACAAATATAATTCAAATTTTGTTATGATATAGGCGAGAGGAAAATGAACCTACACCTAGATGACATGAACGATTCAGTTTTAATTATATAGGCGAGATTTGCACTATGACGATATGCCCCTTGTGACAACTATCTGCGTTTTCGCCTACTCTACCGTAATGTATTCATACAGGAACCTGTCACTCACTGTAAAAATGTACTTTCTTTGATATTTGGTTTGTCATAAATGCATTTCAGGCGATGTTCCTCATCAGTCTGACAAGGAATGTACAGTACACAAAATATGTAATTAACAAGCAATGACACAGTATAATTACAGTAGATAAACTCATATATAACAAAAGCAATATACTTTTTCAAAATATAAATGTAAAAATAATCATATCAGTTGTAAAGGGATAAAAACGGTTATGGAGACTAGTAAAAATATTATACATTTCAACTTCACACAATCAGCATGATTTGTACAATTTTTGCCATTTCTTTACAATATTAAACTCTATTTTTACTTTTCTGGCTCAAAAAACGACCTGTCAAGAGTTTTAGTTTCGGACTCAGTGAACCATTAAATATCGAGAAATGCAAAAAATTTTGGTTTTTTCTGTATGTGTAAACATATTAGTGTGTTTAAATGGCACGACTTTATTTACACTATTTGAAGCTTAGTAACTTCTGCAACTCTCTGCTAAAATTTTCTGAAATTTTGCAGGGAAATATTAGTAGAAATAATAAGATTAAATTTTGTTAGTTATGAGTCGAAAGAGTGAGAAAATAGGGGGGGTTCGTGTGCTAAGTAGGGTCAGAGTAAATAACGATTTTACAGGTTATTCGTATTTATAGAATCTCTCAAATACGTTGTACGTGAGAGATTCTATAAATACGTAATAAATCTCTCACATACGTTGTATGTGAGAGATTCTACGCATTCTGTTTACAGTTTTAGTTCTAAAAAATTTTAAATAATTCAGTAGCTTTCTATTGAAAACATTTCTAATTAAACGAAAATTATCTGCTTTAGAAACATTTTTAGAAAGAATTCTTAGATATTTTTGGAAAATTGTTTCTTATAACGAAGAGAAAGAATTATAAAACATTTAAAATGAAATTTAAACTATAGATTTACAAACAATAATATTTAGAATTAAATAATGATTATAACTTATTTTATAGGAATGTTTCATTAACAAAGAGATAAGTACATATATTCGGAGATATTTTCACCTATTAGCAGATGGTCTTCATTCTAAGTATGTTTTTTTTTCATAGTATAAGAAAATCGACATTACATTAATTAAAATTAATTTCACGGTAAACGAAATTAGTTGTCTGAAATTCATTTTGTTTTTTTTTTTCTTTTAGGTTGGGAAACAGTATTTCTCTGAGCGATGTAAGAAACCTATATTCAGCATTTATACGCTGTTAATACGTATTTCAATAATTTTATTTTATTCATTAGGCAGACATCGCCGTTTCTGTTGAAAATATCAGAGAAACTTACTTGTCTTATTCTTCTTCCATAAAGCATAGTCCAACTACATTTGCAATACGTGCTGCACTACCTATAGATAAAGCATTTATCTTGGTAAAACCTTTCGATGTAATGGTAATGTTTTAAAAATTATTATTATCTTTATATATTAAAAAACATATTTTTCACTATACGAATCGAAATTTACATGGCGTAAGAAATATTAAATATTTGATAACTTATTAAATTCACTGTTTAGTAGTTTAAATCGATGCAACACTTTTGCCATCTGCGAATAGAAATATGCTTTTAAGAAAAATATTTTTAATTTATTTAACATATAAATATGAAAACCCTTTCTAGCAACGTGATAGATATTAGATGAAAAATTAAAAAACTACGCGGCCAGAGTTTTGGCGAAGCAAAAACTCGAATCCAACTGTTCAGTGTTGTTTGGCCGTTGCTGGGCTATAACAAATCTATCTGTTCTGTATCGAATGTTTAATGAAACTATAAAACATTTAATTTCTTAACCAGAGCAAATGTGCCTATGATTTAGCTTTTAATAATTTTAAAACTTTATAAAATAATATACCCTAGGACTTGTCAACAACGGCCATTCAAGAAAATATCAAATAACGTATAAAGTGCTTTTTGTTTGGAAGTTATGTAATATACAGAAAAACATTCCTGAATATTAACGGCTACAATTTACAGATGATCGTTATTGCAGGTTTGGCTGTATAAACATTATTTTAAAAAATGCAAAATGATTATGAAAATTTTGTGTTTCAGATTTGGATATGTATTCCTTTTTCTTTCTTTATAATTTTGTATACTTAGTATGGAATAATGAAAAAAGAGAACGAGTATAGAAGCATGGAGATGCCAAAATTATCCATTTTACTTTGGATTATATTGAGAAGCTTTCTTCGACAAGGTGAGTATATTATACTCTGCACGACGTCAATTTTTCATAGACAAAATATATAATAATAATAATGTGTAAGAGTAGAGTCGTGAAATATTTTGTGAGTAATGAATTGTGATGTCGTTATTTTTAATAATAGTTGATTGAAATTAGTATCATAAGTATGTTTACATGTGTTCGTTTGTAGTTTTTGTTTACTTTCGTTTATTTTTTAGAGAAATTTATGAAATGGTTGTCTTATGTCGGTATTTATATACGATAATTTTATTTTAATGAATTTCTCATTTTTAGCGTTTTTCACGCTCAATTGCTGCGACATGTGACGCTTAAAAAAATATTGTATAATAATTTAATAAGAAATCGATAATATCCAAAACTAAAACATTATTTCCTACTATTATTTCAGTATATTAATATTTTTATTTTCCAGACACAAATATAAATCATTATGTTTCTATTACGTTTCGTATCTTGATTGGCTGTTGGATCCTGATTGCATTTGTCCTGACATCGGCATACGTCGGCACTTTGCCATCGTTCATGCCTAATCCTGGAACCGAAACCATTCTTCAGACATTTCGGGAATTGGCTCAATCAGTAAAAGAAAAACGGTAGAATATCAATTTCTTCGTGTACAGTCTGGAACATTTTTTTTTCGATGGCCTTAATTACGACGTACGTATTATTTTATAAAAGTAACTTTAGTTTAAAATTCAGAATACAAAAGTATTCCAAAGAATCGTTTAATATGATATTAATTGTGAATTTAGGATTAAAATTAACAAACAAACAAAATTGTATAATTACATAAATTATATAAATATCAATTGTTAATATCACAGAGCTGGGAACGTAACAACACTTTTTCTGAGATAATAAAGTTTTGAAATGTTCGTTCTTTTCGGAATTGTTATTCACGTTATTATAAAAAAAATTTAAGAAAGATTAATCTTATTATTTTTCTGAAACGTACTTCATACGTCGTTGTGAGTAAAAAGAATGTAGTCTTGATAATCAAAATGATTCCCTAGTTCAGGGGTGGCGAACCTATGGCANACACGTGTCGGGCTGTGATTGGAACGACTCGTAAGAAATCAGATTCCTAAAGAATGGAACGTATCTATGATCTTATAGGGGGGTAGACTGTAATTATAAAGACCATGTATTTCAGACATAATCACGTATCATTTACACATGTTAATTCTATAAGTAGAGATTGTATGTGTAATATTAGTTCGATAAAATGAATTTTAGCAGTTTCTTCAAGAAATTATAAAACATTCAAATGGTTTACGTTTTATGACAGTTTAGTTTAGTTAATCAAGTTTTAGTTAATTAACTGCGGATTTAAGTAAAACGTTTAAAATATTTCAGAACATTTCAATTGATTATCGACTGGTGTCGATAACTCAAACACGAATACAAAGGAAACTTGTACGAAGTAATTTCCATTTAACAGATTTCAAAGCAGAGTTTGCAATTTACTTGGCAGTAACTTATGCAATATTTATACATTCGAATGGAAGACTAATTTATGTTTAAAAAATTATCGAAAAATTATTTTAAAAAACAAGTAATAATATTTAATAGTTTAACTAACGAAAAATTAATTATAATTAAATATGTTTATACATAAATTCTAGAGCATTATGAATTTGCAACTGCAAGATCAATTTTTTATTTAAATTTTTATCTTGTGTGTGGATATTAATGTACACGAATTTCATTTTAAACTAGGATAAAAATAATACTAATCCAATTGAATAAGTTTTTCAGATTAACAAAGATGTGATTTATATTAATTGTGTACATATTTATTTATGCTGTAACGTTCTAACTACATGTATATTTCAACTAAAAATTATTAAGACTTTACTTATCAAGACCAATAGTCACAGTAAGGTTCCGATGTATCTTTGTTTCGTACTTAAATTTATATGAAAAAGATTCACAACTTTCCAGACTGATACACTGAAGCAAGAGTTCAGAATTACACAGGACAATTTTTCATTACAAGTTTAATGCGTACTTACGATTTTCAGCACTTTCTCTTCAACTTTAACTACAGAAGAAGCATTTATTCGAGTGTCAACAGGATGCATCTGATTCCAGAAAGTAGGTGCATATCGTAAGCTTATCTTTAATGTTCTGATGTATTTTGGTGTACATGGTTCGTAACAAGACACTGCGGTAACCACTCCTTTTTCATTACGTAGGTACGGTATGTCTCCTGAAAATAATCGTTTTTTGTATATTTAAAAATTTAGTAGCTCCATTAATTCTATTTATGGATGAATTTATACTCACTGAATAGTGTTTCATTACATATATATTAGAAAAACACGTATAATAATATAATATTTATTGTACTTACACCTGAAATATAATAAATAATTTTAATATATTAGTAATATTGAAAGAGCTTAGATTTATAACTTTATCATAAACTTTATCTTAAATGCAGGAAATAATATTACAGTATAAGATTATTAATCTGGAACTTGTCAATGCAGTGTTTATTAATTTAATTATGAATTGATTAATCTGACAATCTTTCAAAATGTAATAATTTCTACAAATAATTTTCTTGTAATTTGTAATATTTTGGTATAATTTTACTAATTTGTTACATTTATTAAAAATCACTAAATTCTAGTATCTGTCGTGGGTTTTCAGCTCGAAAATGTTTAGACACGTTGAGTTCATTTGGTTGTTGCAAGATAAGTAGATTAATACATTATATATTCGTATTACTTCTGTTCTGTTTCGAGGAATCCAGAGCAAGCTGTACAAGCTTTTTTTTTCTACAGTAGACAGTAAATTATATTAATGTACAACTTTTAAAATGTCTTAAATGGCATTGTATAATAAAAAAGTTTAACAATACTTTCAACATTGTTGCTATAAATAAAAGTGTTATGTTAATCAGATCGACAGAAGCTTTGACGAAAAAAATAGTATGAGCTTATAAAACAATGTTTCATTAAAAAACACATCAAGTAAATGTAACATAACTGTAATTTACTAAATATCTTTGTCTGAAAAACAATATATCCATAACATTCATTCTGTAATACTTTTGATGCATAACATTTTCAGTAGTGCAAAAAATCGATTTCTTTCTCTATTCAAACGTTCAATTCTATTTTACTATTTTAATCTTTAATTAAAAATAATAAATATATGTCATCAAAAGTTACTTATTTATTTATTTATTTCTCACTTTGATACAGTAAAATAATTGAGAATAAGACATCAATTGTGCATGACGATGAATCAAGTGATCATGCACCAAAAAAAGGAAAGTTTTTCAAATTAAAGAAATTTTTTCGATTTTTCTTTTAATATGTATCTTTAACTTATAGGTAATCTATATATAAATGAATATGTTTATTTGCTATGCACACTTAGGCCATTAGAGAAATCACTATGAAACATGGCAGAGATGCTAACATAATTCTAACTTAAATAATGTTGTATCAAATGTAAATAGTGAAAGTCTTAACCAGTGTCCAAAAAATACAATTTTAGTTAATTAGTTAGTTATCAGATTTTAATTATTTGTGTTTCAATGTTCCTCTCTAACACAAAATCCTGTAAAATTGTAGTCTCACGACACTGCGAAAGCAATAGCATAAATAGATGTAAAAAAAAAATAATTTAGTAGCTTTATGTAATACAGATATGAATTCACAGTACTATTAATATAATTGGAAACATTACAAATCACATATAGCAGTAATACTAAACAGCTCAATGTAAATCCCTTCCTAAATTTTTGATATTTTCATATATTGACTGTAATGACAAATATATTTAAGGATTAACACGTCTAGATTATAATAATAAGTATTAAATCTTTATCGCGAAAAAGGATATTTTAAAAAATTACTTCTACAGACACTTTCAAAATTTTACTTAGAAATAGATAAATTCATTTATTATAAAAGAGACAAACGAAAATTTATTTTAAAAACAAATATTTGTTTTATTTGGGTCTCTAATTAATAAAAAGCGACGAAACACCATTTTAAAGTGCATTTTTATTCGACTAATATATTTATAAATAATATGTAGTCCAAGAGATAGCCAATGCACCAAATGATAATTTCTACGTCTGAGAAAAATAAGTACCCACATTTGGCGCAATGTAGCCAAATCTTCCAACATTGAAAAAATACTAAATAAAGCTGAAGTTGTGACTCAAAGGATTATAGACCAAAATGCGGGGAAAGGAGAGAAGATAAAGAAGTGAGAAAGGTTGAAAAATTAAAGGTCAATATTTGCAAAACAGAAGATCTATTTAACTTTTCTCACTACTTTTTATCTTTTGTCTTTTTTCTCCTTTTCCTCCTTTCTCCAAATTTGGGTCTATACTCCTTTGAGTCACAACTCCAGCTTTATTTATTAATCCTTCCTCATTCACACATCTCCAAGTATTTGAAAATATTTTTTTTTTACTCAAAAATAAAATATGCATAAAGGTTTTCGACTTCGTGAAAATTCTTTTTTGAGTTATGCGGTTGAAAAAAATAAATAATAATAAAAAAAATCAAAACATTTGTCGGTTTTGTTTACACGTTTATTGAGCCGCATTGCAACTTGCCTTGGGCCGCGGGTTGGACATTCCTGCTGTAAACTATTACCAAGTTTGATATCATTCTATCCAATAGTTTTTTTCTTTTAAGCCATTTAAATGTGGAAATAATTATAAAGACCATGTATTTCAGACATAATCACGTATCATTTACACATGTTAATTCTATAAGTAGAGATTGTATGTGTAATATTAGTTCGATAAAATGAATTTTGGCAGTTTCTTCAAGAAATTATAAAACATTCAAATGGTTTACGTTTTATGACAGTTTAGTTTAGTTAATCAAGTGTTAGTTAATTAACTGCAGATTTAAGTAAAACGTTTAAAATATTTCAGAACATTTCAATTGATTATCGACGGGTGTCGATTAACTCAAACACGAATACAAAGGAAACTTGTACGAAGTAAGTTCCATTTAACAGATTTCAAAGCAGAGTTTGCAATTTACTTGGCAGTAACTTATGCAATATCCATACATTCGAATGAAAGACTAATTTATGTTTAAAAAATTATCGAAAAATTGATTTAAAAGACAAGTAATAATATTTGATAGTTTAACTAACGAAAACTTAATTATAATTAATGGTTACTCTAACATATTGAATAAATCTTTAATTAGTGTAATGATACTGTGGATTCTCACAAATGATGCTGTTTAACACCTTAATAGAAGGCAGTTTTCCATTAGAAGTCACACCGAGTGTTAATGTTATTTTTTCAGTAATAAAGCAAATTTGAAAAACAGTTAAAATTGAATATTCATAAAAAATAATATTTATACTTATGAATAACTCCAACCTTTAAATTATGAATAAAAAAGAGTTATTGAAACACAGGAAAGCTTATCATCATTATTATTCATCAATATTCACCAAATATTATTCATCAATTTGAAATTGCTGTAAAGCTGCAAAGAAATTAGGAAGAAGTTCAAAGAAAAAAAAATTTACGAACTGGTTGATGTAAAAAAAGACGATGCATTAAAATTGAAACATGTTTATAGGTCCGATGTATTTATTGCTCGTTGGTTATTTGCTTTCGATTTTCATATCCATTGTCGAATTAATATTTTATTATGGAAAAATCGTTTTAACTCGCAGATAGACAAAGAATTTTCGAAATTATATGCGTTTAAAAATTGGAAAATTTTTCAAAAAAAAAAAACAAAAAATAAGTTTTCAAATCGTAATATTGATGTATTGTTAATTTAATTGTCGATGATGCCAATTTCCTATTTCTAGTAATTCTTTAACGTATATTGTTTTCTGTACAAATGTGGTTCTAGTTACATACAACACAACTTTGTAGAATTTAAAACTATTCGTTTCTTAAATGTTAGCTATTGAAGTTTGGTTAAAATATTCAGTGTAGATTCACTCAAAATAGTATACTTTTCTACCGAATTTACATTATCTACTATTTATTGTTTAATGTATTCATTAACGTTATTTCAGAGTTTTCACTCGTAAAACAGTATATTTCTGTCTTGAGTTTAATAAACAATCTGATATTTTACAAGTAACAAGCACTGTATAATCTTCGGATTAATTTAAGAGTGTGCATATTCATATAGATAAATCAGCTGGCAATGGTACAGAATGTACAGTACAGCAATATCTGCACCAACATGGCTCGCGTATAACTTAACATTTAAAAAAAAAATACTAGAAAATTCTGTAATCCTCTATTTTTATTAATTCGTCTTAACTATCATCAATGAGTGACAAATAAACGAACTTCTACTGTATTTTAATATAGTTTGCTTTTTACTTATATATTACTTATATTAAGTTAAACAAATTGTATGAACTTTGCAATAATATCATTTTGTTTTTTATATCTGTCATTCAAGAATATCTTTGATATACTGTACATTTAATAAAGTACTCTACAGAGTTTATTGTAGATAGTNTTTAAAACAAAATAAAATTTTATAAAAAATACTAAGATTTAAAAAATTAATTTACCTAGTGTAAATGGAGAAAGTACTTACCTAAATGACTTTTCCATCGAACAACAGAAACTGGATTACCTGTAAATAAATATAATTACAAAAATTAATGTTTATAACATATAATAATATATAGAAATGAAGTTTTTAATCACATTTAAAGTTATCTAAAATTAAAATAGAGCTTTTCTTTATGCAAATTACGTTAAATAACCGACGTGTGTATTTGCTTGTAGGTGCTAAAAGACAAAGAAAATTGTTCGTATCAATCGAAAGAAATTGAAAGTAGTTTATATTCTGTAAGTATCACAGATATTTTAAAATTAGAATGTCTTTTATAATTAAAAGTTCGTATTGTTATAAGTAAAATCAAAATTATTAAATGAATAGTATCTTAGAGAAACGAGATCAAACCCATAAAAAACGCCTAAATTTTTTATTACTTATTTATATATTGAATTTTGATTTGATATCGATTTCGTTAACGTAAATTTATTATTTGCAATGCTAGTTTCTAAATTTAAATGGATGTAGTTAGATGCAATGCCTGATCAGAATTCTTATTTTGGTCAATGTCTAGAATCGTAAACTGTCATGGCGGCTCTTCCTGTTTTAGCCTCGAAACCCGACGGCTCTAGAGACGACGTGTCACGTGACGACGCAAGCGCCTGCGCCACATGTAACGTGACGACGTGTAGACTGCCGCGGCAAATCATCGCCGATTGCAGCAAAGACAAGAAAGGCAACAGTGGGGACGCGCGTTCTAACCGAACCTAAACCTATTCTAATAATATAATTGGTAATAATTATGTTAATTTATTAGAATAGGTTTAGGTTAGGTTAGAACGTGCGTCCCCACTGTTTCCTTTCTTGTGTTTGCTGGAATCGGCGATGAGCCGCCATGACAGGCGCCGGCGCTGCCGCGGCGCAGCAGCAGCCGCCGCCGTTCGCTTGCGTCGTCACGTTACACGTCGTCTCCAAAGCCGTCGGGTTTCGAGGCTAAAACAGGAAGAGCCGCCATGACAGTTTACGATTCTAGACATTGACCCTTATTTTGAATTAATTATCAGCCGCTTTTTGCTCTATTGATACAATAATGTAGACAATTGCATTTAAAAATTTACATTTTTAGTTAAATGAAAAATAATATAAATGATTTCATTACATGCTAGAATAATCTAGTAATTTTGATTAGTGAAGAATTTTTTGTATGAAGTGTTACACAAATATCTATAAACTAATTTAAAAATGAAGGTAAATTACAGGGTGGTCGTTATAAAGTTGTGGTACTCGGAGAACTTTGTAGCCCTAACAAATAAGTCAAACTCTGTCAATAAGCTAATTTAGTTATCAAAATATATATTTACACAATAAATGGCGCAACAAACAAAACTCTGAAATGATGCAAATTTAAGAAAAGATTTTTTATTTAAGTAATTATGGTAAGAATCGACGTGGCAGCAGTTTGAGACTATATAAGATGGGCAAAAAGTCACTTTACCACGTAAAAATGAAATAACTTCTTTACGTTTAATTATTTTTTAAGTTTCTTTATAACATTTTAATGTACACATCATAGAGATTTTTTGGCATAAACATTAAAAAATTATATTTAAAATTACCTTTTGTTTTTCTCTTCGCAATAGCAAACTCTTTCTATGGTAAAGTGACTTTTGTCTTACCCTGTACTGCAACATAATATACGTCCACTTTCAAACCTACTTTTATACACAAATAAAACTAACTGTTGAATACGATGATTAATATATGTGTATAATTGAAAAATATATCTTGATGTTAGGAATTGTCGACATGAAAAATTTTATGCTAAAACGTGTAAATTACTATCAGTATATGTAGTTATAAACTGTAATTTAAGGAAAAATTGCAATATAAATAAATATCTCTAAAATACAGTGTTTCCTTTATAGGTGTTGATAGACGTAGAAAGTACAATGACACACGAATGCGAGATTTGTGATAAGTCGTTGGCTAGTAAACAGAGTTTAAGATGTCATATGAGAATCCATACAGGTGAGAAACCTTACAAATGTGAAACATGTAATACAAGTTTTGCTCAATGGAGCACTTTGAAACGACATCTTAGAACCCACACGGGAGAAAAACCATACGAGTGTATAATATGTAATAAATGTTTTGCTCAATTGAGCACATTATATAATCATCTCATAATCCACACAGAAGTAAAACCATACAAATGTGAAACATGTAACAAATGTTTTGCTCGCTCGGGCACTTTGAAATGTCATCTTAGAACCCACACAGGAGAAAAACCCTATATATGTAAAACATGTAATGAATGTTTTGCTCTCTCGGGCACTTTGAAACGTCATCTTAGAACCCACACTGGAGAAAAACCATACGAATGTGAAACATGTAATAAATGTTTTCCTCGCTCGAGCAGTTTGAAACGTCATCTTAAAACCCACAGAGAAGAAAAATCATAAATGCATAACATAATAAATGTTCTGTCTTTCGTGCAGTTTGAATCGATCCATATGGCAGAAACACTCCATGAATGTAAAATATGTTATAAATGCTTTCCTGAAGAATAGATATTAGATTGTCATTCCAGAAGTCATCTGAGAAAAACACTACACAAGTATGAAATAACCAATCATAATTTCATCAATGGAATAAAAGAAAGTAACAATACAACGACTTATTCAAATGTAATTTCCAGCGATTATGTTAGCATCAATCGTCGTTTCGAAGAAAAAAAATTATTTAATTCAGAATCTTTTTACTCATTCTGAATGTAGACTATTCATTTGTTTCGTGTGTAATTCTCAATTTTAAACTTAAGCTTACCTTGATGCTCATTGTATAATGCACGATTTATACCCATTTAATTGCATTATTTGTTTTCAAGCTTTCTGCAGCCACATGCGTTTAGAAGAACATTAAACAATACACAATTCATTAGTCAATTCGTCTTACCCTTGCAATATACGCAATGCAACATTGTATCAAAATTAAGAAGTTCATCTTTAATATAATATAAATTTTGTTTAAAAAATTTCGATTAAAAATATGCCAACATAAAGTTTATTGACAATTTTTAAGTATTTTAAAGTGATTTTATAATAAAGTTTATTGTAAAAATAATTAATTTCTTGCATTTATTTCTATTTAATACATATTAATTACATAACATTTTAATTTGGATATCTTTATAATAACACTAGTGTACAGAATATTTATTAATTAATCAAAACTTTTCGACAAGCTAGGTATGTCGTTTATCAGGATCCAATTATTAGCGAGGTTGAGGCCTAAGTTTTAGACGCGAAAACGTGTACGTCAGACGTTTACGTTTTCTAAATCTGTCTTCCATGTTAGTATGAAATATAACATTTAAAATGTACATGAATAAAGTAAGACAAAGAACAAGTAATATACAAACAAAAACAAGAAGAATAAGAATAATTAAAATGTTTAATTTAAATCATTATCTAAACGGTTTTTGAGTAAATGAATTGAAAAATTAGAAAATGACAAAGAAACAAAATCAACGGATAAAGAGAAAAGTTTTTTAAATTCAGGTATGTACCAAAGTTATTTGAAGGAATTAAAAAACTAGTAAGAAGTAGAATTCATTTTCTTAATTATTGCAGAGGCAGCGGTGAAAAAATGGAATGTGCAAATAGACAGAAACATGCGAGATAAAAATTAATAAAATATAGCAATGTTAATGGCAGTGGTAGCGCAGATATATAAAAATCTCGATCGGAATTATATCCTTTAATAGATACTATGTTGGCTGCACAGAAACGTGAGTACTAGTACATTTATTTACACCACCAAAATCTACTTGTAAGACACTTTACCAACATTAACTAATATAAATGTTTATCGTAGAATATTGGTTTTATATCATTTGGTTGGTCACTTGATTATATTAATGTAATAAATTGGTGATCATAGTAAAATATAATTAAACTCAAACAAAATAAAACAAAAATAAAATTAAGACTAATTGATTGTAATACTAATAATTCGTTTAAGCTTTTTTGACATCATTTCTATGATTTGAAACTTTTCTCATATAGTTTCAACATTTATAAATGACATACATTTCTTGTCAATCAAATAAATTTATATGCAGTGAAAACTGCTTAGGCGACTACCTGCATTCGACGGGCACCTGTCAAAACAGGAAAAAATTTCTGGCACGGAATTATTTATTCATAGAGTCTTCGTATAAGTTACCTGTATTAAACGACCACGTGTGTAACGCGACTGCGGGCATTGATTTCTGGTCCGAAACAACATACAACACCTGTAATAAGCGACCACTTTCGCGAATGTATCTGGTCTAACCCATCTCAAAAACGTTTCCCCATCCTAATATAATCAATTAGTCTAAACTAGGGGTCGCCAAACTTTTTTTCCTGTCGACCATTTTATAGAATATTTTCCTTCTTATCGACCCCCCGATTAAGTATTTATCAAGAACATTAAATCATTTTTTTTATTTCTGAAGTTAAGCGATAAGAAGACCTGCATAATAACCCAACAAAAGAATTTATAGTTTCCATATATTATAAAATCCACCAAATTAAAAGTAAAAAGAGATATTTTCCAATGATTTATAATCTTAAAAATAATAGCAAAATTATGGATAAATGAAAATTTTCCTATAGTTCTTAAACTGGTTTCTATTGTTCTTAGACCGTACATGTCATAATACGTAAAATACACAATTATCTTTGAAAACAACATAAGTGATATTGGATGATAAAAACATTTTACTGTCATTTTGCGACTACTACTGAGTTCCTTAAATATATGTTAGCATACCTTTTATTTTCATTAAAATAGTTGATATTAGTGGATGGATATTAGTAGAAGGAAAGCAGCAAGATTATTGATATTCGGTTGAAAATTGGTAAGTTTTATTCGCAAATCACCACGGTTTTCAAAGTTCAATCTGTTCCTCTGTTTTGTCAAAATTGCGTTTGCGTGGCTAAAACCAGCTTCAGCCATGCATGAAGTTGGGAATGCGAGTAAGAAAGGTTCGGCTTCTGCTCTGAGCTTGGGATATTTAGTGGCAATATTGTTATTGCTCCAAAATTCTCTGAGGTTTTTATTTTTAAACAACGCTTTAGCTTCAAGATCTACACGTATTTCAATCAGTTCATCTTCTAAGCCAGGTTCACTACCTTCATTATCTATTTTTACATCAAATGGATTAGCAAACCATTCGAGAACATGCATATTTTCCGAATCATCGAAACGTGCTTTAAAGTTTTCTCTTAATTTATCAAGATGTTTAATATATGTTTGCAAATCACGGTCGGAAATCTTTTTATTTTCTTTTAGTACTCGCAAATTTGAAAAATATTTAAAATCGGATCGTGCCAGTGAATATTTAAATTTCTCCATTTTCCATGCTTGAAGGGCCATTATGATTGTTCGAGCTTAAACAATTGTAACGTTTTTCCTTGCAAACGCTTTTGTACTATATTCATAATTTTCGATATATTACGATATTTTCTCTGTAAAAGACAAAATATCTATATTTAGATATAAAATACTTAGAGTGACAACCCTACTAGAGTGTAACAGTGCAACGTATTTCTGAACTACCAGCGTTCATAACATGTTTGCAACTCTAGTACAGTTGCCAAATGCGTGAAAACAGAGTAACACATGCTTAAAGCGGCGTAGGCTAAGGCAATACTCAAGTTATAACTAGGGTAGCTAGTAATGTTGATCATATCTGTATTTCGAACTTTTATTGGAATATTCTATTTTCTTTAGACAGTTTAATTCAACCTCTTTGTATTAATCGACCCTTTTTCGACCCTCGTGTATTAATCGACCCCTGGATCACTCTTATCGACCCCTTAGGGTCGATATCGACCACTTTGGGGATTCCTATCTAAACTTTTGTTCGAACCCATCCCGGGCACTTCTCCCACCCTTGAAATTAGGTGCAGGTGTTAATAAATTAGTCTAGCAACAAAGGAAATTCATTTCAGTATGTTGGAAAATGTCCGAAATGCAAAGTGCTGTTGTTAGAAGATCGTATTAAAGTTATCACAACAGCAAAGTTTAATTGTGGGAAAACAAAATTTATTTCACTCTAGACCTACAGTATTTTCTTTCGGGGTGTAAAATATTGTACACGATACAATTAATCGGCTGATCTCATTGTTTAATAAAATCTATTTTTATTTATTTATTTTGAAGCTCATATACAGTACATGTGCGATAAATTGTTTCTGTATCAACCTACCTTATTTAAACGATATTTTTAGAAAAATAATATCCAAATAATTTTCGCATGCAAAATATTCAAAAAACAATAAACGCATTAATTAATGCAAAAATCAGTTTTACAGGCAGCCTTCCTTTTTCGATTCCGCTATGACAATCGCGGAATGTAATGAAATCGTATTATGAGAAAAAATAATAAAATCATTTTATTATTAATTAATAATTTTCTTGTTGTACTTAAGAAAATATTAAATATTAAAAAATATTTNAATGTCCGCTAGTGATGTGGCGCTACAATATTTGGCTATGTCTTGGCTACTTTAATATTATTTTTACGTGTTTTAGCTGGCAACGCTGGATCGACCATCAAAGGGAGCTAGTATATAAACGAGGCTTAATTTTCTAACTTTGAACGATACAATAGCGACGATTATTATTTTTAAAAAAAATTTGATAGGCTTAACATGGAGGAAAATTCAACGCGAAGTAGGTTAATAGCGATATACTAATATACTAATTACATGGGATATAATAATATACTACACTAATAATGGATTTTTCGATACTTTTTGGTTAACCGACTTTTCAATTATCCGAGCAACCAGTCTCCAATTGAGTCGGATAATCGATGCTCTGCTGTATTTTTAAAGTTAAAATAAGATTAAACTAACGAATATCAAAACCAAAATGATGTAGAAATAAGACGCGCTTGTATATCGATGACGTAATACACGTAACTGAGAAAAGAACGAAAAGAACCGAGTCGAATTAATTAAGTCGGAAAAAAGAAAGTGTGCATTATAATTAAGAAAATGTGAGTAGTGTATTATTCTTTAAAATACTGGTATTAAATCTTTCTTATAATATCATGGCGACTCATGTAAATCGGGTTTTCCGATAAGAATAAAATACAGTATTAATATAGCCTTATCGTTAAAAAAATTTGCTTATTTTTGCTCGGCTCGAGTTTTGCTTAGTAGAAATGGCTAAAAAGTGCGCGAAATACGTACGGAAATATGTTATTACAGGACCACCTGTATTGGACGACCACCCATCTAAAAGACCACTTTTTGAAAAAACCGTGGGTGGTCGCCATAGACAGATTTTTCTGTAATTGGATATCATTTACCATTCACATCTGATTACAAATGTTTTTATTAGAATAGATAGACCTATGCTTAATCTGTGGACCTATGTTTAGACTTACTGTTATAATTGTTATTATCTATATTAAATTAATATTATGTATATTTTCTTATTGTATATATATATACAATAACTATAGGTAATAGGTAATAATTACAACTGTATATATATATATACAGTTGTAATTATTACCTATAAGTACCAGTTATTAGTTTGAAAAACATTTTTATTTACATCATATATCAAGTATAAGAACTATGCCCTAATTAAATAAACTAGCAACGACTTGTTGAACTTTCCGGACAACATTTAAAACTTTGATGGCGCCATCCGTTACTATANTTAGCATTCGAAAAGATTATTATCCATGACTTGCGTGTATAAATATAATTAAGATTATATAAAATACGCATTTTCTATTAATAGCACTAAATGATGAACAATTTTAACGTTACTAAAATTTATTATCCATTAAATTTAGTCTTTCGAGTCTGTGCAGAGAAAAAATGCATTAGTATATTACACACCTATAATCATTATAAACTTTATATAAAATACGCATTTTCTATCAATAGCACCAAATGATGAACAACATGAATACTACTAAAATTTATTATCCATTAAATCTAGTCTTTCGAGTTTGTGCAGAGAATAAATGCAT